GTGTGTTGTTTTTTTTTTTTTTCGTTTTGTTAAGGCCAATTGCATATGGCTTTAAGTCTCCTTTATGAAGGTTATGTTTTGTCGGTGTTTGTGCCTCCTTTATGAAGTTTATACCCTTTGGTCAATTGCATGATTCTAAATGAGGTAAGTCCAGACTTTATTCTAGTTTCAGTGGTATTAGTTGACACGTCAATTGTACTCTTTTGAGTTTTAATTTATTACTATAGTTACCATTTGATTAAAAAAAACAAAAAAAAAAAACCCCACATTTCACATGGAACCAATGGATTCTCTCTCTGTGTACGTGTTAGTTTGTATAGGGGTGGTTTGTATACTGAAACGTATAATTGATTCGGAGTGCGCTAAATAGCGTACGAACTTGAATAAGAATTGTAAAATGCGGAAGCAATAGACCGAAGATTTAAAAACTCTTCAGGGAAGCATCTCACTTCCCCTTAGAGCTCTTTCATTGATAAACCGTATATTGACATAGTTTGGACTTACAAGACTTGAACTCCCTTCTAGTCTAGCCACAACTATTCACGATCCTATCAACTATTTCTCCGGCTACGTCCCGTGGACTTTTTAACCTGCACTTACTCCCTAAGTGTAAAACACAAAAATAGTTTGAGTAAAATTAAGAAAAACAAACTAAAACAGCTTCAGTTCTAGGATACGTAAGAACCCTCGAACTGAACTGTGTACAAAACTGAACAGAACTAAATATCTATATCAAGCTCGAGTATTGCTCTATATTAATTATATTCTCAGCAGCCGCAATAGAAGCTTCTCATAGGGTATTTATATAAACACCTTAGGGTTGAAGTCTTCTCCAAGAATGAGACTCCTCACATGATTTCCTTCCTTATATGTAGCAAGTATTTTGGTAAGTGGATCTCCTCTTCTCTCTCCTAGATCTCCTAGTCACACATGTCTATCTCTTTCTCTTGGTTTCCACCTATTCCCGAGTTCCTACAGAAGAAGATGCCATAATAAGATCCATGTAATCTTATATATGGAATACCAAATAAACTAAGTATGAAAATTATATAATCAAAGATCTTCCCTTTTTCTGTGGTTCCAGGTGCTTGTTCGAACATGAGAACTAATGCCAAATAAAAATATCTTTCATATACAACTATTTATCACTATATGTTTTGGATTTTCTAGTAAAATTCTCATCATATAATAGTGCTAATTTAAGATTTCGGTACAAAAACTTAAAATTAAAATTATATTTAAAATATCGCGTACTACGCGGATACTTGTATAAAAACTTATATTTAAAAATTCAATAATAATAATAACAATAAAATTATTCTAGTTTTTAAATACTTGTTGAAAAAAATATATTATTATGTACTTTTAACATGTCACCGTAACTTACACGACTTACAATCTTATATTATATATTTTTTAAATTTATATCAGATAATTACTTTATAGTTGAGTTAGTCTAAATAATTTTATTTTTTCGAATTAATATTAATATGTAATTTAATTTTAGTTATAAAGATAAATAAAATTATTTATTTATTTTGTATGTATAATATACATTTTAAATCGAAACTCATCAAGACATGATTAATTTGTTAAATTATATATAAAAATTAGAAAATAAATAATTAATATATTACTTTTAAATATATTTATAATTTAAGTTAGTAAATTTGTTATAATTTCTTTTTTTTTAAAAAAAAAAGAGTTGGAAAAAAATTATACCTTATAATCACTTCTACAACATGAAATAGTATTAAAACATAATTATTGGTCTTCAAAGGGACCATAAATATCCAGTATATTTATGGATATTCCAAGTCTAGTTATTTTTTGATTGTAAATAAATTAAATTTTTTCAAGTCAAACAACAAAGCTTAAAAATTTTTCACATATGATTTTAAAGCGTGCTGGCCTCCACTTAGACCCAACACATTCAAGAATTATATATAGAGAATGGTGGATTGACACGTGTCACAAACAATAAATATTCTTTAAAAATCTGTCAGTTCATAAGTTATGGATAACTCACAAGGAAGGCATTCGTTCGCTCTATAGAATTTCTGTATTTTACTTATGTGTTTTTTGAAAGTTCAATTTTCTTAGACTTCAAAGTTTGAGAAATCATCAACATATGATATATCTTATATTGTATACACGCTTTTGCTACCAGTTTTGCTATGGAGCTATTAGATGGCTCGATTTATTGAGCCATCCACACTTATTCAACAATAGTGTATTGACACGTGTCCTACAATAAATACAATTTGAACATGTGTCAACACATTAAGTGGTGAATGACTCTATAAGAAAACCATCCGATGACTCCATAGAATTTTTGCTCTTGCTACTTTGTTTAAATCTTTTGCATGATGTTTACTAATATTTCCAAGAATGTTAAAACTTCACAATTTAATTTCATTTGTCTAAATAAAATTTATTCTCACACAGTTCAAGATATAATTCAATAAATATGAATAATATATATTTAATTTAACCTCTTTAATTTTACCATTATAAGTGTGTGCAAAATTTTCATTGCAAAATGATTAATACTTGAAACCTGTCCGAAAGTTATAGCGAGTCTCACGTGCAACAAAATTTTACCATTTTCTTTTGTTACAAAAGTAAAGTGCACTAAAAACACTGACTCGGTAACATTACTGCAGCTGTACTTGTTTTACCCTGGAAATTCACAGTTTCACCACTATAGAACTTTAAATTTGCACTGGTTTTAGAAAATTTAGATGATAAAAACTCTAAAATCATTTTCTATTTGGTCTCTACCATTCATCATTCGAGTGAATTTTAGGTTACTATCTTTGCTATTTTGTTGCTCATATTTAGTGAAACTGTACTTAGCTTCTGGTAATAGGCATAATAGTGCTGTAAACGAACCGAACCGAACCGAACTGAATCGAACTTGGTTGTTCGAGCTCGTGTTCGTGTTCCTTCGTTTATTTTTTGAGCAAAAAGTCGTGTTCGAGCTCGTTCGTTTAATTGTTCGTCAAAATTCGAGTTCGTTCGTGTTCGAATAATTTAATACATAAACTTTTTTTAATATGTTTGATTAACTTGAAATTTGTTCGTTCGAACTCGAAAATTAAAGAATAAAATAAAAAAAACATTTTCATACTTTAGATTTTTATTAAAAATATTATGTAAATATATAAAAATTAAATAAAATTGGATTAAATTTTAGATTTCTTATTATAAAGATTATGTAAATATATAAAAATTAAAATAAATCTATATTAATTAATGTTCGCAAACATAATCGAACTTTCACGAATCGTTCGTGAACGTTCGAATATTAAACGAGCCTAATTTTCTGTTCGAACTCGGCTCGATTAACAAACGAACGAGCTTTTGTTCGCGAACGCTCGATTCGTTTACAACTCTAGACATATCTAATGGTTATAATATTTTATTAGTTAAATATACAATACTTTTAAAATAAAATATAGTGTGGAATTAAATCTTAAATTGACTATAATTAAATCAAATTTGGTGAGATTTCACAATAATAGTTGGTTGTAATTGACTATAGTGTGGAATTAAATCTTAAATGAGTGTGGAATGAGTCCAAACGTGATTAATACAACTGTAGTCGTTACTAGTTAAGAGTAAATCCAAGTAGTTAAAATGTATAGAGATTCTAAGGTCCTGGCCTGACCGTTAGATTAATTATCCACAACGGTTACAAATCTCAACGGAATGCTCATAACGGAACTTTACCATTTCCCCCAAAATGTAAACCTTAGGGCATGTTTGTTTATGGATTTTTTCAATCCAATTTTTTCAACTCAAATATTTAACTCAACTTTAACTCAACCTCACTATCTTTAATATTATTCATACAATTAAATAATAAAAACCAATCATTCTTACACATCACATCAACTTTAATTCACTATTCATCCACTCACATAATTTTAACTACCATCATTTCCAATCATTTATCTCCTACTTTATATCAAATTAACTTTAATTATTTTTATTTTAAATATTATTTTAATATATTTTTTAAATTCCACTAACAATTAATCACATTACTTTTTCAACTTTAACTATAGTTAACAAAATGAAATATTTTGGTTGAAAAAATCCATAAACAAGTGCCCCCTTACACACATACGATTGATTGTGGAGAAAGTGAGAGACAGTTGTTTTCCGTCAGAAGAAATCTAATACGTGCCTTGCTGTATTTATCTCATCAAAAGGAGAAAATATAAAAAAAAAAAAAAAAAAAA